TGACTTGTACTTAATGATACACAGTTCTATGTCACCTGACTTGTACTTAAGGATACATAGTTCTGTGCCACCTGACTTGTACTTAATGATACATAGTTCTGTGCCACCTGACTTGTACTTAATAATACATAGTTCTGTGCCACCTGACTTGTACTTAATGATACATAGTTCTGTGTCACCTGACTTGTACTTAAGGATACATGTTCTGTGCCACCTGACTTGTACTTAATGATACATAGTTCTGTGCCACCTGACTTGTACTTAATGATACACAGTTCTGTGCCACCTGACTTGTACTTCACTATTAATGATATTTTCAACCATATATTCAATATCTCTCTAGGTTCAGTTAGCTCAGGAGGTTTTAGATTAGTCCAAAATCTAAATACTAAGATAGCTAATGCAAACAATCTCTATGATAAAAGTATAATAATAATAAAAAAACAACAACAACAGAACTATATACATTAAACTTTCAAACCAATATCATCAATGAAAGTAACAATAAAGAAAGAACAGAGTGTAATTCACTTACGAAACACACAAATGCTAGTGGTTAGCTTCAAGTGTTGTCGTAGATTTAATGTTCGTTGAGTAACGTAACCTGATTTACTTCCTGATAGATTGTTATATATATTTATGGTTATCTAGTTTTTCTTATCCATCATATATATATATATTAGTTGCATAGCATTAATCCAAACCAACAAGTAGCTAAAATTAGTCCTACATATTATTTTTGTGTGGATTAAATTTCTTTACCTTAACAGTTTCTGAAGGCGAGAATGCTCTCATATCCCACAACTTTACAGTCTGATCCTTAGAGTTTGTGATCAAGTGTCGACCATCACCCTACAGAAAAAAAGAGCATCTGTTGTAAGTAGTAATACATGTGCAACAGTATTATAGCAGACACTGAACCAGATGGACGCACAAGAGTTTAAAGCAATTTTTAATACATTGACTGCCGACTCTTATAGTATACATCCAACCCCTATTGTCGTGTGAAGTATGCATATGCATTATTTTCACATTTTACCCTTTTATGTGCAACTATAAGTTCATTTCTAATACAATGGTGGGGAATTACCATGTCATGGAAAACTCGTAGCTAACAGTGGGACAAGATTTTCAATTCTGTATGCCAGGTACGAGTTAGTTTGTAGCACTATTTTTAGCACTGAATTAACTTTGGTACTAAGTTTCTGCAGTTGGTAATTATGTGCTGTGTACCACGTGGGTTTTTGTTGCTACTGTCATTGTTCTTCGAAATGGCACTTGTGAATGCAGATGAAGTTGCAAAGCTTCTAAAAGAAACTGATAATGATGATAATTATGATCAAGGCATGGAGTCTGATGATGGGACTGTAGAAATGCCCTAAGATAACAGCTAATTTCAGGTGAAAATAACAACTGAAGATAGCAGTGATAACCAGTCTAGTGATAATGGCGACCCAAGGGTTTCACCAGACTCGTATTCATCAAGTGATGAAAATGGAGTACCAGCAGTACGTGGAAGACCTAGAATTTGTGGGGCCACACCAGATGACCACACAATCGTGGAGTAAGAACAAGAGGTGGTGGACGTGGGTCTGCTGGAGCAGTTCGTGATGGAAGAGCAACCTCTGCTCCAGCACCAGACAGAACAGTTGGAAATGTGAACCTTATTGTCTCATTGCATAATTTGTCAAATGTTGCATAGGATTCATCTAACTTCACTTTCAATGAAAACTCCAATCTTAGAATCCAGTTACAAGATGGTTAACCTAGTGATTATTTTGACCTGTTCCTGACTCCTCAATTACTGGATATTATGGTCACAGAAACAAACTGATTTGCAACAGCTAAAATAACCAAACACCAACTATTGGAAAGAGAATCATGACTAAAATACTGGAAGGAAACGGATGCTACAAAAATTAAAAGTTTCTAGCCTCGTTGATTCACATAGGTCCAAACAGCCTACCAACCTGGGAACACTACTGGAGTACCGATATTCTGTACACGACATCACTTTATAGTGGTGTTATGAGCTGCAACCGCTTTCAAATTCTCGTACGTTTTTGGCATTTCAATGACAATTCACAACCCCAAGATGATGTTGCAAATCGTAATAATAAAATTTTGAAGAAACCCAATATTTTCTATGATTACAACAATGGCATGTCAGTGAAAGACAGATCTGACCAACTGTTGTCACATTACTCAGCTCTAGGAAAAACCACACGATGGTATAAGAAGATTGAAATATTTATTCTGAATGCCCACATCCTTTACAATGGAAATAGGGGACAACAAATGAAACTCTTGAAGTTTCATGAACAGGTAACAATTCATCTAGTAGATCTTCAAGGCCAGGGTTAACTCCAATTCCAAAGGATGAATTGTTTCACTACCTCACATGTTTGACACCCACAGAAAAGAAAGAGAAGCCAACCAAACCATGTTGTGTCTGCATAAAGGAGAGGAGAAAGCCGCTACATGTGTGACGTCTGTGCCCTGAAAAACCAGCCCTCTGTATAGAAAAAAATGCTTCAAACAATACCATGTGCCTCAATAATGAACACATAAACAAGAAGACAGAGAGACATTTGTAATTATTTACTGGACATTATTTTCTTTTTGTCATTTGGTATGATGTGAGAACTTGTTAGTTCCTGCAACATTGATAGAATAAAATGATATATCTAGTAAATGTTTATTGATTATTAATTGATTAATGATTCAGACCTGATCAAACAATGCCATGTGCCTCAATAATGAACACATAAACAAGAAGACAGAGAGACATTTGTAATTATTTACTGGACATTATTTTCTTTTTGTCATTTGGTTATGATGTGAGAACTTGTTAGTTCCTGCAACATTGAAAGAATAAAATCTTGTAAATGTTTATTGATTATCAATTGATTAATGATTCAGACCTGATCAAACAATGCCATGGATCATGTAGAATAACCCTATTTCAGTTATAATCCTTTATTTTAGCATTGTAACCATCTCTTCTTTAGTCTTAGTTGTGTTGAAGTGAGCTTTGTGAAGATATCATGTTTACACACCTCAGTGAATTTCAATAGCGCAAGCAATGATACAATACATACTTGATCATGATTATTACATAGCTTTATGTTCCCCAAACTGGCAGCAGACTGTTGCCTTATCTGGGACACCAGAATTACTCTGTTTATTACACAACAGAGTAATCTTTTCCACGAGTATACTCGTAGTAGGCAGTCAATGTGTTAAATAGAGAATATGACTTGTAATATTACAGTCATCAAAGAGCAGAAGCAGCTTATCCAACCTTGATCATGATTATTACATAGCTTTATGTTCCCCAAACTGGCAGCAGACTGTTGCCTTATCTGGGACACCAGAATTACTCTGTTTATTACACAACAGAGTAATCTTTTCCATGAGTATACTCGTATTAGGCAGTCAATGTGTTAAATAGACAATATGACTTGTCATATTACAGTCATCAAAGAGCAGAAGCAGCTTTCCAAAGCTTATCCAACCTGATTAGGAATACATATTTTGGCTTGAATCTTGATAAATTCATTTTTGAGCTCCTTATGTATTTCTAACTAGCTGATGAAATAACATCACGATGTGCCCAACAATGAAAATCTTTAATGTTTCAAGACTTCAAAATATAAAACTTTCATGAAGCATTGCTTTTCCTATAGTTCTAGCTAGTTATTACTATGTGACCAATTATTACTGAACTACTTCAAATATATTTAACAGTCCAAAATTGTATATTTTGTACTGTAGCTTTGATACTGCTAAACTTTTCTACAACATCTGTAAAACAGTCCTGCTAACGTAAACTTTGTATTAATCTTTACTATAATTTCAGTCTTTACAACAGTTATGATGAAGTTCACAACGTTAGAGATTTAACTTAAAGATTTTGAACATAAAATATATGGTAGTATTAATATGAAATTAAAAAAAATTTATCAAACATTTTTTTTTGTACATACATTAAATGATAGTGTTAGTGAAATTGAAAAAAAATCTAACTTTGGGATCTATGTAAGTTATCCCATCTAAATGTCCCGCTAAAATTCCAACTGGCTGAGGATATTCGTCGTTCAGAGTTCGTCTATCCCAAACCTAGTAAAAATAATACAAGCCAGCATTAGTGTGTAGAATTATGAAAATTTATAGTCAATAATAAATCATAAGCTTTGATTACATTACATTAATAGTCTTACTAAATATAATACAAAAAAATTCGAAACATATGAAAAAGCACTAACCAATGGTGAAAATATTTCATTTCTAAGAGATATTGAAATTAAAAAATTATGTTCGTACTTTCGAATTCACACCAGATCTTACCCTTCAAAAGACATCGACAAGTAACAACAACAAAAAACTGTTCAGTTAATTATAGATCAGACCAAACTATGATCATTTGAAGGCTTTCAGTTCTGAGAATTAAACTGGAAAGTTTTATATGATGATAGTTTCATCTTTTCTGACCCATATCTTGCCGAAAAATTTCTTTGGGCAGTAAAGATCTACACCACATATTTTTAGCATATGCAGTAAACGACTAAAACCCTTTTGAATTAAATAAGATGCACGTACCTGTAAAAAATGTAAAAATTTAGCACCTATAGCCTAAAACTTATCTTTATCATAATCATGATATAAAATGCATCTGTATTTTTATCAGCTAAGCCTAATGAAAGGGCATTACGTATAAAAGTTTTAAGTGTGGTTGTGTCGCATAAGTTTAGAAATTTTCTGAAAATTGAGAGCAGAAGCACTGTACAACTATCCATAAACATAAGTCTAATCACATTAAAAAATAATTAATTATATTTGTCATAAGATATTAGTATTATGCATATTACATTTTTAAATACTAGCTTGTAAAGGGTGTTCACACTGTAAAATATAATTTTATTTAATTTCTGTAAAAATAGTGAAGTTAGTTTAGAAATATTAATAAACATTAAATTTTCAACTGCTTTCAAAGTTCTATTAGTAAATGTATTTTCTATAAAATATCGTGCCGATGTTTATACCTTACATAAGCCGTCATCCCCTCCACTGAAAATAATCTGTGAAGTTGCATCTGCAAAATCGATAGCATTTACATCACCTTCATGGGATCTAACCTAAAATAACAAAACCTGAAGTCTGTATCAAATAACCTCTTTAGTACAGAAATAATCTTTATAAAATAAAATTTACTGCAAAAAAAATTTATATTCTCTTTAGAAAAAAATAAATATTGAGAAATAAATTATAATATTAGAAGAAATACCTTTTCCAAATCAATCACTGGTATTTACTTAATCACAAGATGAACACAGTTAGAACATATACCTTAGCTGAAACATCCAATAGTTTAAACCAGGGCTCTTCTCATTATAAAATGTTTGTTTTTTTTAAATCAGGCTACGTTGTACGAGATCTTAAATGGTTGATAGCACAAAGTTACAGAATGGGCTTTCTGTGCTTTCCCCCCCATGGGTACTGAAACCCAAATTTTAGCATTGTAAGTCTACAGACTTACTGTTCAGCCATGGGGGGTTCTTTAGTGTCAAATGTAAGATTTGTCAATAGAAGTACCCCCAAAAGTTTACAGTGCCCCAGAAAAAATCAAAGAAGGGTGTTTCTACAACATGAAACTGTAAAACTGTTTTTATAAATCTTGAAAAATATTAATAGTTCAAGATGAACCCCTAAAAGGTTATATAAAAACCAACAGGCTTAGGTTTTCACTTTTTCTTAATACCAAAATAAATACCTAAAAATTAGTCACTAAAGATGCTACTTATAGAATTTTTGTAGAATAATTATTTGTTTATAATCAATAAAACCGTGTTTAATTTTTCATCCTGTACAATATTTTAGTGTTATCAGTGACGT